TTTTTTTTTTTTTTTTTGAAAGAAATATAATTTAATAAAAATATATTTAAAATTGTTTAATTAATTAAATAAAATCTTTGTACTTTATCTATGACAGTCAATCCTAATTTATCATGATTGATTAATATACTTTTTAGGTTGGCCAGCGATTTAGATTTTAGTTGGGGAACAATTATTAAGTCCTCCGACTGGACGCAGAGGAACGTCTGGTCGGAAGTCAAATCCCGCCAAAAAATGAGTTGTACCGAGCAAATACCGAGCAATACCAAACAATAACGAGGAATACCATCATTTGAAGACCCAATACCGAGTTATACCGAGCTAAATCGAAAAATAGCGAGTTATACAAAAGTTGTACCGAGTTTTTCCTAGAAAAACTCGGTACAACTCGGTATTTCTCGGTACAGCTCGGTATAACTCGGTATTGGTCTTCAAAGAGCGGTATTTCTCGTTAATATCAAATAATACCTAGTTGACCAAGCAAATACTGAGTTATTTGGCGGGATTTTGCCTCCAACTGGACGTTCCTCTACGTCCTTACACGGACGTAATAAAAGTTCTTTAGTTGGGACGACTTTCTTATTGTTGCGCCTTAAAATAATTTTTTAGTAAAAAATTAAAATATTTGTATTAAAAAACTGTTTTAAAAATAGTAAAAAAATATCCTAAATAAAATCTTAATCACAAATACTATTAAATTTGATAAGTCATAGTATTAGATTTTGGATTGACCAAAGAATTCTAAATTGTTATATATTAATTGAGCAATATTTATGAAAAAGATTATGCATAATTATTTTTTTACTACTAATTAAGTTGAAAAACTAATTGAGATTAGCAAAGACGATTAATAGCTTTTTATTCTTTCACTTCCTTCATGGAATAATCTCTCTCCCCCTCCAAATAACAACCATAACATCATTAACCACACAACTAATTAAGAACTTAATATCATATTATCAAATAAAACAGCCTTCTTAATTAAGCCAAACATATATTTCATTAACTCAGTCCAAACCAGACTGCAAAAGAACCTTCCAAACCCTTCATGGCTTCATATATCTTCAACATTCTACTTCATCTTCTTCTTGAGAAAAACACACACAAACACATTTATATGAAGAAACTCCGTCTATGGATTATAGAAAGAAGATCCACACTTGCACATCCAGCCTTCTGGCTCATAGTTAGTATACTGTGCCCTTAACCCACAGTTATTACCTTCGCTTGTAGTTGGCACCTTCACTGCTCCACAGGGCTTACAAGCCCCGCACCTGTACTCACAGCTCGGAGGCTTCGATCCCAGCTTCATCTTCTCATTAAACTCACCATACTCCCCCTATACATAACCATCAAATCCATATAAGAAATATTGCCTTACGCCAAGAGATATTTGCAGAGATAAATATATAAATACCTTAGCAGAGAAAGCCTTATAAGTTGGCTCACATAGTAATGGCGTAAAGCTCATTAGTAGTAGCAGAAGAATCAAACAAGTTTTCATCATCACAGATTCTTCACAACCTGAACATAAAAGGAAATGAAAGCCTGTATATTGATTGAGTACATATATATATATAGAGAGCTACTTCTGCTTCATGGCTTCATCAAGTTTTTTATTTGATTTTAACGTATGTAAACGTACAGTGCTACAATATTTTGGACAGCTAGCTAGCATTCTAGCACTTGACGACCATATGATTAGTCCATTTCTTCTCGTGTGTTTCGAGCTTTCTGATAGATATCAGAATCCTTGAAGATATATATATGTCTGGGAAGTCACTTCCCGAGGAGTTTCAGGGACCCTAGATAAGGATGTGTAGGGTTAGAAAGCTAGATAGATATAGACGTGTCCTGGGCTGTGGGAACTTATGATGCTGAAGCAAAGGTCTTTTCCTTTTACCAATAATGGATTGATTATTCTGTGCGGACGATGAACGTTGTATTGAGATCAATTAGAATATGCATGTCATTCTTTCATTCGGTACTGAGACTTGATATCGCTGATGTGACGCACCTTGATAGGTCCCTAGATAATGTTCTGCATCCAGTCTCCGCACAGAATAATTTCTATGCGGAGAGGTAGTAGCTTGGAAAAAATTATATTCTTCTGGAGAAGTCATGGATGAAGCATTTGTGATGGAAGTTGTCTGAGGAAATCTAACATTTATTGCGTCTCTTTTGAACTTTTTATATGTAATTTTATCTTTGGGTTTAGTTTTGGGGGAATTGATTAATTTAGTTGGTAAGGCTTTCGAAAATTATTGTTAAGATTTTGGGATTGAATGTTGTATGAATTAAGTTTATATTTTATCATTTAGTTTTAAAAATAATATATTTTTTTTTGTATTTATTTCGAAGAAAAATAGTATTTATTTTGAAAATTTTCTCATATAGAATTTTACATGATATTATTGAATTTTTATATGTTTATATTATTATATATCTAATATATATTTTTTTATTTATTGAAATAAGCTAAGTTTGAGCAAGACTCAACTTCGCTCGTTAGTTTGTAAGTAGATTAATTAAAAAAAATATTAATATAAAATTCACTTAAAATATATTAGGAGTTTAAATATAAAAATATTAAAAATATTAAAATAAATATCTCTAATTTCCTTATATTAAGTAATTATTAATTATTTCTCTTACAATTTCTGAAATTTATTATTTTATTTTAGCTATTGCCTGAATCATTATTAATTCTTCTTTTCATAATAAATACGCCGACTCGAACTCTTGGAATTAACCACGTGCTCGTGCTTGAGCTCAATTTTTTTAAGATTTAAATTGTGTTATTCAAATATAAATATTTAAACAGATCTAAACCCTTAGAAGATTATAAGATTATGTCCTTTGATTTAAAATACAAATAACTATAAAGTGTTTTTTTATCTATATATTGTAGAAAGATTGCCATGATCTTTGCTGAATGCTCACTCTATTTTTTTTATTTGAAATCATTATAATTCATATAGCAATGTAAGTATTGAACCAAGCTGGCTCGTGTGCCAGCTCGAACTCGACTCGTTAATGTGTTAGGACTTAAGCTTATCGAACAACAAGTTGAGCTTCTATTCAAACACACATATTATATGAGCTTGAGCTCTAACTTGGTCCGGCTTGGCTCTTTGGCTTGAGAGCCAAGAGATTTATATTAGCCTAATTATTTATTTTTTGTCTTGATTTAAAATAAAAAATCAAGCTCCGAAAGAATTCAATCTCAATTGTTCTAATTGAGCTAGAGCTTTTGAGTAGCGCTCTAGCCTCATATTTTAAACTCGAGTCGAGCTCGAGCCCGGAAAATTAGCTCAAGTCGAGCTTAGTATAAATTAAAGGAGTTTGGTTTAATTGAGTGAAAATTTAACTTTCTTACAACCCTAATTACATAGTTTTTTTATATCATTAATTATTCAATTTAATTAAAAAAAACTACAGCTGGACATTTCTGACTTTGGTCAATCTAACACACAGGTGACCAGAGACCGGAGACCGGACATAGCAGGTCTGAATCCTCCATTGTCTTTGGGTTAAGCTGGTGTGCTGACATATATCAATCAACTTCACCCATTGCCTATAGCAGCTACAATTGTAGCGATATCGGCTCTAATGATATTTGGTTCTTATGTTTGGTCTGAATTAATAGTCGAGATAGAGTTAGCCGAGGTGGATTTACTTTCCGTTCACGGCAGTGAATGCGGCGGAACTGACGCCGACAAGATAGATTATAGGGTTTTGTAGGTATGTCTGTGTACCTGCCCACATCATCCGGAATGTACCCGTAACTATTCAAGGTAATTAATTGCATGAAGCAAACTTTTGGGTTTTGTTTGGAGAATTTTTGTTAGGTCCGGATACTTACTTGACGTAGCTCTATATCCGGACGTTAATAAAATATCGTCACGTGCTCTTACTCTTTACTGCGCGGCTCGACGACCCAACCCAGAACGGAAACCCGATTTGCTATGTTCGTGTATTGCTAGGTATTGCTTGGCAATAACGAGAAATACCGCTATGTCAAGACTAATACCGAGCAATACCTAGCAAAATCGGGGTATTGCTCGGTATTGGTCTTGACAAAATGGTATTTCCTATTACCGAACAATACCGAGCAAAACCTAGCAATACCCTGATATGTACAAATCAGCTACTATATAGCAATATTGGGTTTCGGTCCGAGTCGGGTCGTCGGGCCGCGCGGTAAAGAGTAAGAGCACATGGCGACATTTTATTGGCATCCGGATGTAGAGCTACATCAGGTATCCAGTCCTAATAAAAATTCTTGTTTGGGATTGATTTTTTTCTGTTTTTTAAAATAATTTTTTAGTGCAAAATTTTATACTAAGAAACTACTTTAAGAATCAATAAAAAAGCTGTCTCAAACGAATTTTTTACTATTTAAAACAGCTTTTTAATATAAATGCAGTTTTCTTGTACAAAAATTTTTATACTAGAAAACCGCTTTAAGAAGCAGTAAGAAAGTCGTTGCAAATGAAACCTTAAGCTTAGGAGACCTTTTTTACTACTTTTCAAAAGGTCACATAAAAAACTAATTTAAAAAGAAGCAAAAATTTATCATAAATAAAATCTTAGTCTATTAGTTGAGAGCTTTGAGTATCAACTAAGAGATCTTGATTTCAAAATTTATGTACATGATATATGTATAAATTTATCTTAATTAATTAAAATATCCCAAAAAAAAAAGTTTATTAATAGCCTTATTAACGAAGAAGATATATTGCCTTTTTGTATCAAACAATTATATTATAAGGATCATATGATTATATTTGATTTTAGAATAATCACAAAGAAGAATCAATTAGTCAAGTTAATATTAATTAAAATCTCTAATAATTAGGGTTGAAATCATTCTCTTTTGAGAGCAAACAAAATATCTATGAAAGGTAAACCCTAACATCAAATTTGTCCATTAGAGCATCTAAACCTAAATAGATTCTCAACGTCCACCAAATATAAATAAAATTTCACTATTCAATTAAATCAATTCAATAACTCAACCTTAAATACCTACTATAGATTAATATGATGCATGAACCAAGGTTAATAATTCATGTCTATTATCTTGGATTAATGTTGTAATTAAAAGAAATTTAATAATGCATAAGACAAATTTGATGTTAGGGTTTACCTAAATCAGATAGATGAAGAAGAAGATGATATAAGAAAAGAGCAAGAAGGAAGAAATATTAGTGCTTTGTCCTCTTTTTCCTTCACTCAGTCTCTTCCCCAAATCAGCTCATTAGGTATTCGTAGTCATTTAGTTCGTAAACCTCTCTCTACTTCTTTCTCGTCGTAGCTTTCCCTCTCTCACATATCATGCCCTAGATCCGATTCATCTGCTTAAAAGGCATGATATTGCCTTAATAGGGTACGAGAGATGATAACCGAGTTGGTTGAACCAGTTTGGTTCAACATCCTCCGCTTTGGATTATTGCTTTGGATTATTACAGGAAGCTAAGATTATGATAAGCATTTAGGGCATCTCCAACCGAACGGCAAACACTTGTTTGCCGTTCTTGCTTTGCTCCAACCGATCGCCATTTTTGACGCCATTTGATCGCGGATGAACAGTGCGACGCCAATATTGGCGTCGCACTGTTCATCTGCGCCATTTTTTTCTCTCTACCGAACAGGTTGGGATGAAAGGCGCGAAAGAAAACGACTGTTTTAGCGGCAAAATGGCGTTGGATTGGAGATGAAACACGGCATTTTTTGATTTCCCTGCATTTTGGAGTGAAAAATGACATTTTCGGTTGGAGATGCCCTTAGGTCAATGACTGACCCCATAATATATATTAAAAGATTAGATCTATCTTTTTTTTCTTTATCTAGAGATTTCACATTTTATATAAACGGTAGACAGAAATATGATTTATTTATATTCATCAATATATACAAGTATTACAAGCCTAAAAATGTTATATATGCAATAGTCATAATACAAAAGACTAACTACATCATTATAAATACATTATGACTACAAAATAAACTATAGATGCCGAAAAGAAAACTAAACATGCCAACTTGAGTCTCACATTGCAGGGTTCTTATCCTTTCCTGTAAATATGTAGAAATCACATAATGAGCAAATAGTCTAGCAAGTACTCAAAATCTTATAACTAAAATAAATGCAGGGCAAAAGAGAAATAATATTATGCTATAAATCACGAAAGAAAATCTATGGATCAATATATATTATCTGTGATAGTCACTTGTATCAATCAATTATTTTGTTTTTATTATTCAATCAAATTCATTCAGTCATATCATTCAATAATCTTCATCAGTCAATCAGTTGTATAGTAATATCAATATTTGTATTCGTTAATGTGGAGTACAAATAGAAATTGGTGTCTCAGTATCAGAACATGTACAATATCAATAATTAGTAATCAATATTCAATTATTAATAATCAAAATCAGTAATAATTCATATATGTTTTTTTTTTTTTTTTTAATTCATATATGTAATATGTAATCAATAATCAACATTATATCTGATATTCATGTGAGGGTATCT